AGAATTGTAGTTATCTTTTGTTGCTGCCTTTTTGTAGAAAATGCTTTAAATTGTAGATATTATGTAATCATTTGTAGTTATGTTGTAGATAAAATGTAGATGAATTTATCATTTTTATGCATTTTATTAATGTGAATTAATTTATTATTTGTGCAGAATGGACAGTTTTTTGCCCCACATAATGTTGATTATGGGGTGCTTAGATTTCACACTTTGTATGATACTAACATTCCTAGCCAGATTAAAGAGCTTCTATCCTCAAATGGTTTGAATCTTTTCAAAAATATGTGTTTTGGATACTTACTGTCTCTTCCCACCATATACATGCAAAACCAAGTCATTCATCTTCTGATGAAATATGAATTGACCAAATCCAATGAATCATATTTTTCTGTACATTTAAATGGTAAAACATTAAATTTTAGATTGCGTTAGTTTGCATTAGTTACTGGTCTAAGATGTGTTACTTAAGTTACTGATTTTGGTTACACTCCCACTTATGTTAACAAAATAATGAGCAGTTATTTTCCTAACAAATTAAGAGTGGAGAAGTCTTATTTGAAACAGATAGTAACCACTAGATCCTGGGTAAACGATGAGGATGCGGTGAAGTCGTGCATCCTTTATCTTTTAGAATTTTTTATTTGTCCTTTGAACAAAGATCATGTTTCTTTTGTAGATCACTTTAGGTTCTATTTGGTAGAATATAGGCAGTATGAGTCATACCCATGGGGTATTAAATCTTACGCTCAGATGATGGAATCTGTATGTACAAACTAAATCCGTATGTATATTCTTATCTCATACGGGGATGCTCACTAGCATTGCAAGTATGTCTTTATGAGTGTTGCTCTACTGTCATCATTGATCTAGCTACAGGGTGTTCTAACTCAATACCTCGCATACTAAGATGGTCAGCTACTAAGGGGAAGATTTGGTTAGCTGCATTTGAAAAGAAGATGATAAAGCATGAGTGAATAAAAGTATAGTTTCTTTTATTACGATTATACATTTACCTTCAACATATCTACAAGTATTCTACATTTTCTGCCTTGATCAAACTAATTTATTTTTCCTCATTCAGTTTACCAACATTGTTGAATCTGGAGAAGAGATTGCAGTGCTGATTTTGCCCGATAAAATTGAGTACAAAGTTCAAGAAGGTGAACAAACATATGAGGTTCCCAATGCCGATCCTCCTACGTTGGAACCCAAACAAATAGATGGAGAAGAGGACAAGAAGTCCATTGCTGAGAAGATCAGTAAATTAGAAAAAGGAATTGAGCAGGTAATACATATAAACTACAATATATCTACATTTCATAAACTGTCTACCAAATATCTACAAATTTGTAAATTCTGATATATATCTTTATATAATTGCATATGTTTTTGCATTGTATGTTAGGACATATTATGAAGTTAACAACTTACTATATTGTAACTTGTAGGTTGATAGAAAGCTTGAAGATTTTAGGAAATTTGTCTTTGTAGAACTCGATAACCTTCGAGTATTTATAAATGATTATGTGCAGTCTGTTTTGCAAATAATAAACATTAGAAATGTGCAAGATTATGTAAAGGTAAGATCTGACTTTTATTTTTATAGCAAAACAATTTAGACAATGAAAAAATATATGCAAACTAACATAAAACATTCAGTTTGCTGGCAGTTCAACAAAAAACAATGACCAACAAAAAGACTTGAACAATTAGCATTTTCAGTTCAATATTGGGGAACAAGTGCAGGAAAGCACCAGCAAAACAGCTATCTACAAAATACCTACAAAATATCTACAATTTGTGTCAGTGAATAATTAACATATCTATACTTATCCACAAAATATCTACAATTTTGCTACACATATGCTACACCTTTCAAGCCACCATTACCCAGTATTATTTACCATTTTTAATTATAAAACAGAACATGTTGAAGGTGCAGTTGGTCAAGAAAATCTTCTACCACATGGTGATTTATATACATATTTTCAAGTTGCAACTGATGAAGAAAAATTAGGTATCATATTGTCACTCAGAGATATTTTCTTGTTGTTTATAAATTTTAACATTTTTGTTAAAATTGATATGATTGTGTTACAGTTACGGAAGATATCAATGCACAGTCCCCAATTCACGGAGTGACAGTAGCATCTCAGTCAGAACAGGCCATTGAGGAACATGACAATGAAGGTGCAGATGCACAGTATGTGTATCTAGGTGATTCAGAAGGATCAGGAGTTGAGAAGAATGGGGTCACACTAGATGATTTTGAGTTGCCCGACAACTTATCCCAGTTGGTTATATTTGGCGAGCCCATACAAGATGATGCAACACCTATGCATCTGGGGAGAACAAGGCATCCGGGAAAGCATGCACGGTCACCGTTTATCCCTCTATATAGTTCTGGGGGCACCAACTCGATTGGACTTAAAATTTTCTACCTCAAGCACCCTTTTACTGCTGTTATTGGTGAAAATGTAGATCCAGATGTTTTAGAAAACGTCAACAGGTGGTTATACCACTCTAGCGACAAAGGTTCAAAGAGGTATGAATGCATAATTTGAAACTTTCATTTCAATATTTATCTTTTACATATCTAATTCAATCTATAATTTTTTTTTGTCATTTATTTGTGGTTACAGGAGGAAGACTCTGTTTTCCATAAAGGATAACCAAATTAAGCCTTGGTTAGACCTTGGAGTGGAAAAGGTTGATAAGAAGAAATGGTTCTTTTCGCTGGCTCACCCCAGACAAGTCCTCAATGACTCGGTAAGTATCAAGGATTCTATTCCCAAGATATGATTTGTAGATATTTTGTCTTCTGTTTTGTAGATAATATATGAAGATGACTTATAGTATAAAGTGTAGATATGATGTAGACATGATTGTAAATGTTGTCTTTCTTGTATGTAGTGTAATTAATATTTAGGTTTCATGTTAAGTATCATATTTGAAGATTATTTATAGTATAAATTTTATATGTATTTTGTGGACAGAATAGTTTTATTGATGTATTTACTGTTTGTAGTGTAATTGTAGTTATTTTGTAGTTTATGTAGAATATTACAAGATTAATTGTAGTCTAAAATGTAGATATAATGTAGACATAATTGTAGATGTTGTGTTACGTATTTGCCCAGTAACTGTAGGTAAATTGTAGTTATGTTTAGATTAGGTACTTAAACTATAGGTAAATTGTAGGTAAATTTGTTTAAATTGTAGAGCTGTTTTTAGACATCATTGTAGATATTTTTTGTTTCTGTTTTTGTAGTTAATTGTAGTTATACTGTAGGTTTCATGTAGATTATTTGAAATTGAGTTGTTGTTTATATGCCAACTATTTTTGGGTGCATCACATTAATATAATAATGTATTACTTGAGGAAATGAGGCAAGTATGACCCCAATAACAAGACCAGGTTTACCACAACGGATTGTGTGTTCAAGACCAGGATAGAACAAATTTATGAAAAGTTCATAAATTTACCTCAACAAGAGAAGTATTCGATTGTCAAACCCCAAGATGTTGTTGCATAATATATTTTGGGGTTTAGACTACTTGCCAATGTTGTATGGGATGAAGTTGACTATGTCATCATGCCCGTCAATATTAAAGAAAAATCCCATTGTGTGTTGGTCGTTTTTCGACATTGCAGACATGCAACTTTATGCGTATGATTCCATGGTCTCTTCACACAACCATCATGTTGTTGAATCTTGTGCTGAAAAGTTTTCTGTTATTATCCCTTTGTATTTGTCATGCACTGGTTTCTATGGGAAGCGTAAGGACATTAACTTCATGAATACAAAGGCATACATCGAGAAACCTGTTACCGACCCTTTTAACATTCAGTGGATGGTTGTAGAGATTCCACAGCAAAAAGAAGGGTCACTGCAAAAGATCTATTCTCTCTTTCTATGTATTTAATTCTTTTTTTATTTCTAATTATTTGGTAAATATTTAAAAAAAATTGTGTTTCTGCAGCGATTGTGGTGTATTTGTTGCTGCATTTGCGGAGTATGTTAGCGTTGGAGATTTATCAATTCCCGCAGAAGACCTTTCTGATATTGACCAACATCGTAGACACTATGGAGCGCTCCTATGGGACTATGCTACAAAGAAGCAGAAAGATGAGTCAATCAGTGAAAGTGAGGTTACAAGCAGACTAGCAAGGAGGAAGGGTGCACCTGCATTGAATGAGAAAATAAGAGTCCAGAGAAAGAAGAAGTAGTGTCATGTCTATGTAATTTAGTTGATGCTAGTTTGTAGGAGAAGTATAGTACACAACTTTCTGAACATTTCTTTTGTGTTTTTATTGTAGCAGACCTTTTGTTTTGTAAATGTTTATCCAGTTTAGTAGTTCACTTGAAAATAACTTGGTGGTATTATCTCCAGTTGTTTAATATTTACAGCACTTGTTCTTCATTATCTTAAAAGTAGTTATTATGTTGTTAGAATACAAATTATCTACAAAAAAACTTCAAATTATCCACAGTCTGGAAACATTGAATGTTGAGATTGTATATAATTTTATAGTTGAATATGTATATAATTTGTAGGGAATACCTCCAGTTGTATTTACTTTCTGTATATAACTGTCAGTTCAAGTTACATTAATTTTTTTAAACTTGTAGTTATATTGTAGTTAATAAATATTAACTGCTATGTACAGAATGTAAAAAATGGAGGTAGATAATTGACACAATACAGAAAAATATGTTAACAAACACATAAACAAATTGAAGTTAACTACATTATGATCTTTCAAAACTTAAACAATTACACATAAAATTCTGTTAACTTGAACACACTAACAATTATTTTAAAATACTATTCTAACTACACAATATTTATTTCTTTTTGGGTTCATTCTTGCAAGATCTTTTGTTATACCCTTCACCTCCACAGTTTCCACATGACACCTTGTACTTCTTTGACTTTAGTTCATTATATGTTCTGTATCTTTCCTTTTGAGGTTTTCATGACTGTTTTTTATCTCATATAGGTGGATTTACTACTTCATCAGATATATGTTGTGACACATTCCATTTGCTTTCCTCAGGAAGGGGATTTACTGGTATTTCATATGTACGCAGCAGGCTCTCCCTTGTGTAATACGGAGAGCAAAAGTTTTCATAAGTTTCATTCTTGTGCCTTAGACCTACCAAAGTATGCGGACATGGAAGTTCATCAAGTTGGAACTGGCCACAACTACATTTCTTGCTTTCAAGACACACAATGTACCGCTTCACACCATCTATCACAGTATGCATATGATCTGTTGAAGCCCTCACCAACAATTACATAACAAACAGAAAGAAAAATATTTACAATCATAACAATAGATTATCTACAATTTATCTACAATTATATCTACAAATTATCTACAATCTACAAATTAACTACAATTTGTCTATAATTTATCTACAATCTGGAAATAATGTATATTAATTAATTAATTTTATGCACCAAATAAACAGATCTTACCCTAAGTTTCTGAGATAATGTACTGTTTTTCTCCAATTCTTTGTTGGATTTGTACCCAAGGTATGTGAAAGTACCCTTTGCCTTCAATAACTTCTCTTTTGTCCAACGTTCAAGAAGTTTCCTCATATACTCTAATAGGTCAAATGTTAGCAGCTCTCTTGCCTCTTTTGTTACAGCATTCAACGACTTGGCAATGTTTGATGTCATAGTCCAAGTTCTATTCACCGTTGCATGTACTCTTGACCATCTATGATAGCCAATATCATAGAGGTATGATTTAACACACGGGTCTATTTCTTCAATCTTCGAAATTCTTTCATTAAATTCATCCAGAGTGTATGACCCTGCTGTAGCAAAGTACAATTCATTTAATTGTAGATGACCCTTCTTGAACTTTGCCCTTATATTTGTCCAAATATGCCACACGCAAGAGTAGTGTGGCAAGCCCGGATAGACAATTGATGTTGCCTTCAGGATACTCTCATTCCTATCTGAAACAACACATATTGAAGTTCTTTCACCATATGCTTGCTTTAATTGCTCAAAAAAACACTTCCACGATGCGTCGTTTTCTGAATCAACCACAGCATATGCCAAAGGCAATATTGTACCTACATTATTTGTAAAAAAATAATTAACTAGCAGATTTGAAAATGCATATGAAAACACAAATACATATAAACTACAATATATATATATATATATATACACACACACACACACACACACACAAATATCTACAATGTATCTACAATTTATAAACTGCCTACAAAATAACTACAATTTTACCTGCTGCATCCATTGTGCTTGCTGTCAGCATAATCCCCCTGTAGGCTGTTTTCAAGAATGTCCCATCAACCACTACTACTGGTCTACAATATTCCCAACCACTTATTGATGTAAAAAGAGCAACAAATGCATATAAGACGCATTCATCTGTTGTCTTCTTCAATTTAACAACTGAACCAAGATACGTCTTCTCAAGAATATAAAAACATTTTGGTAATTTGTTGTAGGAGTCAGCCGGATGACCTCTCAATAACTGTAAAGCCTTTTCCTTTGCCCTCCATGCTTGCATGTAGCTTAGGTTCACTCCATGTTGGGACAACATGTTAGTTTGTATATCTTTTGGTGTGTAAACTGTTTTAGGATCACAATACTTTGGCATGACTATGCTACCAACTACAACTGCAATACGTTTGCGATGTATGAATGTATCGTCCATTAAGGTGCATGTGTGTTGTCGGTTGAAACTCCTGATCTTGAACATTGCAGAATCATTAATTGATGTTGCCTTGAAGTGCCAATTACAGTTTTCTGCAACGCATATGAGCCAATAGCTACAAAAAAATACATTTATAATACATGTTATCAATGTAGATTTAACAAAATGACTGTTTTAATATAAAGTAACACACTATATAATATAACTACTTTTCATCTACATATTACATATCACAAGGAAAATACTGTTTATAAAGGTCTTTTCACAATTAATATCTTCATGCCTTCTGTGGCTAGATCTTTTAACCCTGAATTGGAACTTGTGCATGACAGAATAGTGTCTCATTGCAGTTGCAATTGTTTGCTTGTCTTGATACACTTGTCCTTCTTCGATAACACTTTATGTACCTTCAGTTATTATTTCACTTTGATATTCCTCTATGACGGGAGAGGCTGGCATATCAAGTAACTGTATTGTCCCATACGAACCTGCATGAAAATAAAAATAAATAGTGTCATATACAATTTTGTAGAATCTTTGTAGATAAACTGTAGATGAATAGAAAATTTTGTAGTCAATTTTTTTTTCAACATGGATTATAGCTTAATTGTAGTATAAATGTAGTAATTTTGTAGATAAGCATGAAAACAATATTGCTTTATACATCCTAGAACTGATTTATAGTTTATTTGTACATAAATGTAGGAATTTTGTAGATATTATCGTAAAATCAGACTTCCATTGAATTTTAAATATAACAAACCTGCACTTGTGTTCTCATTTGTAATAGCCAATTCCATATTGAAATCTCGTACACTTATGAGTAACGGATATGATCCTAAGTTTTTATTCTCCTTTTTTGTCTCCATATACACACTAACCCCCATATTGTTCCTAATCTTCATTTGAGGACAATTCTGATTCACAATGTATTTGATTTCTACAATTTTTTCCGAAGTATCAATCATAATTGCTCTGCAATTGTAGAAATCAACATATTGTAACTTGTATCCTCATCAAGCACAATGCCATCAACTTGAAAATCTCTAAATCTGTCATAACTATCCTAATTGCCATTAAAATGTAGCATGATTGGGATTTTGGACATGATTGTATATCGTTGCTGAGGTATTATTCAATATTTTGTCGCTTTTTTGATTTTTTGGATTAAGAAAAAAAGACGAAGAACAGAGAATCGACAGAATTGATTTCTACAATTTGACTTGAATTTGTTGAATATTTTGTCGCTTTTTTTATTAGTGGATTGAGGAAAAAAGTCGACAAACTGAGATTGCAGAACTGATTTCTACAATTTGAAATTGAGCTTCTGATTTCGACGAACTAAGATTTTGATTTGTAGCGATTGTGAGAATATCGAAGAACATAATTTGATTATTAATTGAAGATAAAGGATTTCCGTGATATGATTTGATTTGATTTACGTCAAATCTTTTTAGAAGATTCTGTTCCTGAATTTTAGCTCGACAAAACTATTAATTAGTATTTAATGATTGGTATAATAACTGTAGAAAAAATGTGGACAGAACGGGTAAATTAGAAACTATACACATTTTTGGTAATAAGGTTTTATATATGGTATAAGAAACAAAAAATGTAATACCTCATTCTGGTTCATGGGCTTAACAATACTCATCGTTTTTATTGGGCCTTCTTACCTTGTCAAGCTCCTGTATTCAATTCATCGACACAAGTTTGAAAATTGTTCACAGCCGAAAAAAGATTTTTTTTTCTTTTCTATAATAAATTGCATAAATCGCATTATGATTGCGATATATAAATCGTCTTTGTGACTGCGATTTGTAAATCACAATTGGTATTCCGACTTATAAAATGCACATTTATGAAATGCTAATTACGAAATAGCAAATTATAAATTGTATTTGGAAATATATTAATACTAGTAATAGTTCAATTTATGATTATGAGGATTCTTATCTGAATAATAAATACTAACATGGGGAATTCAGAAATTTTTAAATTGCAACTGCTTGATAAAAAAAAAATGAAAATAAAGACCTATTATGGTTTCAACAATCTCTTGTGAGTCTTCCTTTCAATTATAATCGATGGAATCAACCATTTCGCTACATAAAGAATAATCGATTTGAATATGCCGTAAGAACTATTGAGACTTATTCATCAAATTTAGTGACATCGCATTTGGTAATTGGGATCGCAGTTGGTGTTGCGATTAATAAATCGCATTTAGTAATTGCGACCTATAAATCACGTTGTACTATAACAACTTATAACTTGCATGTAGTTATTGCGACTTATAAATCCTATTTATTCATCATATACGACTTATTCCCCTCTATTATCTTTTGCTTATTTTTTTTTTATATTCCTTCAAAAGCAACACAAGATTAAAAATTTTGAGCCCAAAAGTGCATTTTGGGAAAATTCGAATTCCATTATGTAATATTCTTTCTACCCCTCCCCCTCCTCCTAGTGATAAAGAAAATGCAGACAGAGGCACCTAATTTAAAATGGATATCTCTTCAAAATCAAATAATATCAAGAAGTAGTTTGGGTTGTGTGTGTGGTGGTGGTGGCGGTGGTGGGGGTTATACATGCAATTTGGACATAAAACTAATACATTAGCATCATCAAACGTAGGGCTGTTCATGGTTTGACGGAAATCGATCCAATCCGAAAACCAAATCAAACCAAACCGATTAAGTAAACCGATATTTTTTTGATTTGGATTGGTTTTGATTTTAAATTTTAAAAACCGATGATATTTGGTTTGGTTTTGGTTTTATTATAAAAAATCGAAAATTAAACCGAACCAAATCGATTAATTATATACAAAATTTAATTATTATTTATATACAATATAATATCTTTTTCAAAATAATTTTAAATATTTTATGCAATTTAATTGTTATGTAGAATTTTGGTTTATCCTACTTATATCTTAAAAGATTGTCTAGGCCCAAAACAATAGGAATCAGCCAATTTTCTTTTCCTTAAGAGACTTTAATTCTCTAACCCTCCGCACATACTTTTGCCTAACATAAGAGTTAAAAAAAATCCTACCATAAGAGTAAAGAAAGCAAACTCAAATTGCAGGACTACAGTGGCTAAAGCTTGAGAAAACAAACTTTTAGTTGTTTTTTTGTTCATTCTTTTCATATAAAGAGGTAAATAAACTTTCAATTCCGAAAGAAATATATAAAAAAATATAAATTTAACAAATTATTTTCAGACCGTGAACACCCTGATCAAAGCTACTAACCGACCTGTAATTGTAGGACCCAAATGTTTCTAACTCATTTGTTCATAGCTTCCCCTTCATATTCTCATTTTCCAGTGGAAAAGAAGTTTTCCTTTTTAAATCGTCTGTTCAACGTCATCATTCCCGATCATACACATATATAACATATACAATAAAAAGTCGATTGCATTTTTTAATGTCATGATATTTATATGCACATTTATTAAAGATCTTGACAAAATGTACCATTTTCATACACTAGGTACAGGGTACCTAAAAGGATATTGTGTAATGAATATGATATTTTATATTAGTTCCAGCAACTAATATAAAATTTTTGGTAGAAAGTGCCCTTTAAATGGGCCTACACTTTTCAAATTTTGATTAATCAGGTCAGTAATCTTTTGGGACTTTTGCATTTATATTCGGTTTGGGGTCACGATTCAACATATACTCACTTTTTTAAATTTTTTTTATAAATCTACCCACTTTTCAATCAATTCAGACTTATCCGGCCTGAAGTTAAAAAAAAATTAGTTTGAAGTGAAAAAAATTATACTTTAGATGCACTTAAGGCCAAATAGGTCTGAAATGCAATTAATGGTTTCATGCACTTAAGGTCAATAAGTCTGAAGTAAAAAATTGTACTTCATATGCACTTAAGGCCAAAATGTCTGAAGTGCAACCAAAGTTTTAATGCACTTAAAGCTAAATAAGTCTGAAGTGCAAATTGCTCAGAAATAGAAATTTGTTCTTCGAATTTTAACAATCTAATACCTAAATGTACTCCAAATGAGCTCAAATTTGAAACATAACCTCTAAATATCATCAACAACAAACCTCAATCTTCAATCCGTCAAAACAACAATAAATATAACGAACCCATTTTGCAATTAAGAAAAAGAAAAAGAAGAAACCCTAAGCAATAGTAAAAAATAAACGTCACAACAGTTCACCACTGTAAAACTCATAAACTACCTTAAAATATATTCACAAACACCATATAAAATCATTGTTAAGAAGAAGAAGAAGAAGAAGAAAAAGGAGAAAAATACCTGAAGTTGTTTAAACAATAGGTACAAGTTAAAAAAAATTTAAAAATTGGATACATGTTAAATGAGCGCGATCAAATAGGATGCCCCGTGCAATTGTTACTAAATTTCGATAAGGATTCTTACACAAGTAGCCGGTCAGATTCAATATTTATTTTTTTTAACCGGTATATATATTATTAATTATACACAATTATATATACACTATACATAAATTATATATACAATTATATCTTTTAATTATTTTTAGTTTAAGAGATTAGGTGGCGACTATTTGAGTTATTTTCTCTTTATACCCGATGATTAAACAAAAAATAAAGTAGTACCGACAAAAAACACAATTTGATAGAAGAAAAGAAATTAGGAAGAACAACGCGTGGACTTCACGAAATTTAGAAAGGCGTTTTCAACCAATCATTTTAAACGAAACAAACTAAGGAAAAGTCGGCAGACTTATAATTTAACAGAAGCTTATGATTGGATAATATATTCTTAAATGCTACACAACTACCCCTAAAGTCCCTAACAAGGGTCCCACTCTTGCCGCACGTTTACTAAAATAGCATGAATTCAAAAGTTTATCCTATACCCATTTTACACATTTAAATAATATTTTCCACCTCCTCCATGACCAAGTGTCAGTTAATCAGTCACTTCAATATTAATTGAACTTTGAAGCCAACCCCTTAATATCAAATTAATATTATACGTGTCGTTTAGTATAACCAATGGTGCGTTAGATTCTTTATTGTTTTATTACATACCTTAAATGATTTTTGCACTTTGTCTTCATTTATAAAGAGCAGTAGTATCAAGAATTGAGATTGGTCAGTAACTGTAGTTTGCTCGTCAAAATTCAAAAAGGAAAAAAAGTTAGAGTTTTTTTTTTGTCTTTCTTGATTTGGGTATAGAATGGAGGAAAAATATGAGCTTTTGAAAGAACTTGGTACTGGGAATTTTGGGGTGGCTAGGCTAGTTAAGGACAAGAAGACAAAGGAGCTTTTTGCTGTCAAATATATAGAAAGAGGGAAGAAGGTAAGTCTGCTTTTGTCAAAAAAGGTTACTTTTGTAATATTATCTTTTTGTTTGTAGATTTTGTCATTATTTTTCACTTTGTTAGGTTAAGGATTGTGCTGGATTTGCTCATTTGGTTGATATTTCTAGTGAACCCTTTACTTGATTAATTTTGAAATTTGTGTCATTTGTTCTTCCATGTAAAAACTTGAGCTTGATTTTAGTTTGGGAAGATTTTATACACCAGTTGCCTTTTCTACTTAACTTTGGCAAACAAATTAGGTGGCCTTTGTTTGAAGTTTCTGAATTTGCAAATCAGTTGTAACCACGAGCTCACAGGTTCGAGTCATGGAAGCCCTGTAGTCCAGCCCTTTCCCGGACCCCGTGCATAGCGGGAGCTTAGGGGGGGATGGCGATGTGTTTCAGATTAATTCCCAAGATATTCAACACTGATAGAACTGTTTAACTGAATTAGCTGTTCTAGCTGGAACTG